GTGAAAACCTAATTCTGAAATAGACCTAATTCCAAGATGGGTCTATTATCCTCCAGAAAGTTCCCCATCCCAGCCACCATCTCCGATGCCTGGTGAGCGGGTCCGTCACACTCGCAGAGGTCTACTTTTGTGGATTTCAGGAAAGCAAGGACCAGTTTGGGATCTGGGCTCTCAGGACAGCAGAGGCTGCTGCCGGCTTTCTCTCTTCTAAGCGTTGTACCTATTAAAACGGCAGCTTCGGATGTGCAGTGAAATGGGCATGCTTCCCCTTGGAGGTGGGCGCTTTGGACTCTGTTCCCATAAGGTTTGCTGCTAAACAGGGTGTCTGGAGAGTGTCTGCCCTGGGTGCGCTGGGGGTCTGGTGGAAGAGGGCTAAGGCCCCTAATCACTCACATCCCTGCTGTCTGGACTTGGGGGTGAGGCTGATGGTCTGATGGAGAAGCCCCTCACCTGGAGACTCGCAGGTTTGCCTCGAAAGCCTGTTTCCCTGCCCCTTGCATGGTCCCCCTTTGGGGACAAGCAAGTTTGCCAGGGACACTAGCATGTTGGTCAGCTGGCAACGTCCAGGTCAGACCGACCTCCAGGTCTGAACCACGGGCAGAGGGTCTGAGGTGGGACAGCCCCTCCCACCCCAGCAATCAGGAAGAGGGTGCCCTCAGCCACCTACAAAAGGTTTCGTGGTGTGGTTCTCACATCCAGATCCCTTATTCCAAGAAGCCACCACTTCTTGGGGCTGCAGTAACCTAGCATGAGTGACTGGCCACAGGCCCAAGGGCAGAGCCCCTGCGAGCCTAGAGCATCCTCAGGATCGGGATGGCAGCAAGATGGGGAGGGGATTGCAGTGAGGAAGCCAGGCCCAGGATGGGCGGGAAAGTCCTGAGTTGGTGAAGGCTGTGTCAGCTGAGTAGGCAGCTCCTCCCACTCCTCCTGCCCAGGGAGTGGTGAGGAGGGTGCTGGCACCCCCTTCCATGCTCAGAGAGCTGGTGTTTCTGTCTGTTGCTGTGCTTAGGCCCCCTGTGGCCAAAGACCTCACAACCAAATATGGAATCAATAGCTTGGACCTGGAATAGTGACACTAAACAGGAGTGTCCATGCAGCACCTGGATCTGACCTGGAGCGCTGCCTTTCTTATGCAATGAGGGCATCTAGCCTCCTGCTGTCTGCTCAGGGGCTGTTCTGCCCTGGTGCCTCCTGAGCTTTGACCAGGGGTGTGGCGGCCAGGGTCTCCTCTCCGCAGGTCACCACCACTCAGGTGACCCAAAAGCTCGGTGAGGTGCAAATCTCAAAGCGCCTCCTTCCCTCCAAACCAAAATGGCAGCTTTACCTCCTGAGGCCATAGCCCCCAGCCCACAGGCAAGGGATAGCAGGATGTGTGCTGACACCGGGCCCCTCTCCTTCACCCCCATGTGGAAAGTACCCTGGTGTGTTACCCTCAACATTTCCCACCCCCTCCTCTCGTCTCCTTATTTTCCATCCTGTCTGGACACAGGCTGGTCTTTCTCTTAGGATGTGTCACCATCCCAGGTAGTGTCTGGGGGGTATTCTGTTGGCAAAGACCAGCACCTTCCATTGCATGCATGGACAGGCTGGCATACCCCAGAGCTCATCTGAATAGAGAGGCCCATCCCCAGGCTCACCAGGACACAGGGAAGCCAGGACCAGGGCAAAGAGAAAAAACTGGAGCAAGCCTCCGGGGTCCAGGAGGGTTAGAGCTGTGGGAAAAGAGAAGCCAGTCTCCCAGGAGGGGGCTCTCCTGTGGGTTTGGCAAATGGGGTCACTCAGAAAGGCCCCAGGAGGTTCAGTGGAAGAGGGAGATGGACAGGAAAGGGGCAGGGAGGTGTTGGTTTTGTTTTTATCCCAGCAACATGGCGGAGAGGAATCAGCTCAGGCCCTAACTTTCTCCTGTTTGCCAGTTTTTCCAAATACATCCTCAAAATGACACCAAAGCCTTGTCTCTGTCAACCACCCATCTTGCCTATTCCAGTCCACTCTAGCTAGCATGTCCAGCCATCATTCTGCCCATCCCCTCAGCCCATCTACAGTTATTTATTGATACTCTCTTTTCATCACTTCATCCTTTTGTCCAGTTCAGTCATGTGTCTGGCTATCCATTCATCCATCCACCCACCAACTCACCCATCTATTCATATGACCACCCATCCATCTATTCACCCATCTATCCATTCATTCATCCATCTACTCATCCATCCATCTATTCTTCCATTACTATATCACAACCATCACTTGATCCCATCCCCCATTCATCCTTTCACCCATCTGCTTGTCTCTCCACCATTCATCTCTATGCATGTTTCTATCTATCCCACCTCCAATCTAACGCCTACAACCATATCTCAATCCATCCACCTCTTCAGCCACTGAACCATTAGTAGTACCACCAACCCTCTTTATGTTCCAAAGCTTGAGGGTGCTTTGGATCCTCCCATGACCTAAGCTTTCTCACATCTGTGGGAAGGGCCAGACCTGCTCCAGAGAAAGAGGAGGTTCTGTGATAGGCATTTGGGCAGACTGGACCGAAGTCCTAGCAATAGCTCTAGCAATAGCTCTGGCCAGTCTGGGCCCACCTGGAAAGTGTGGTGGCCATGGGCCAGGAGAGTTGGGAAGTGGCCATACACCTGCTCAGAGACCCTGTGACCAGAACTACCAGTCAGGGTGAACACATTCCCTGGCAAAACCCTGACTTGTAGCATGGGCTACAATGCCTCCAGAGGCCACTGTCCCAAGGAAAGGAGGGGAAGAAAGAACCCAATGCTGACCTCCTTCCAGTCACCAGCTCCTGGAGCCCCTCTTCTCCTGGGGTGCTCATGGTCACTCTGCCCATTCCCATCCCCATCTTCCATCCTGGGATCCTGGACAGTTGGAAGTTAGCTCTTCGGAGCTCTGAAAGATGTAGGAACAGGCCCTGCCCAGGCTGAGTTTGGCTGATGGTGGTAAGTGTGCCTGGGATCCTAGAGGCCCAGTAGGGTCCCCTGCCCAGCTCGCCCTAGCCCCATCAGCCTATTTCCACAGGCCCCCATGCCACATGGGGCAGTTTCAAAAAATGAGGCTGGGATCAAGGTGCTGGGTCATGGCTCTGCTGGCAGGAGAGGAGGGAGAGCAGGAAAGCAGAGGGGGTGCAGGAGCTGGACTCTGAGGACCTGTCTGCTCTCTGGTCACCTCATGGATTAGGCCTGGGGGAGCTGGATGCCTGTGACAGCAACCTGTCCCCCAAAGTTCCAGAAAACACTATCTTGCATGCTTCTGTTTGTTTTGTTTCAATTCGGCTGGCCCCTGGAATGCCATCCCACAGACCCCTCGTAGCAGTAATGCAATGTTAGGCCTCAAACTGGAGCCTGGTATTTAGATATTAGAATGAAGGCATTGGGTGCCCTTGCTCCCAGCCTGGACAGGGGGCCCAGCCAGGCCAGCTGTCGGCTCACCTACTGCATCCTTCACAGGCTTTGGGCGTGGAACCAGGACTAAGGCACAGCCTCACACAACCTTGTGGGGAACACATTGATTTTCCACTTCCTCTTCCTTCTCTTTTTATTTTTTAAATTCCCCAAAAGGAGTTGGACAGTGAGTGTTGGGTCGTTTTCCTGTAACGGGTTTTCCTCGCGCTGTGTAGGATCCGTGGCATGCCGTCCCTGTCGCGTGTCCTCTGATGTACTCTGTTTGACCTGGACACTGTAAGACGTTATAATTCAGGTCACGTCAGTTACCTCTGTGTCGTGTAATAAAGCCAACATTTGCCATCACGGCTCTGCCTCTCCTTGAGTTCACGGTGACTTGGGTTGTCCTGTTTCACACATTATTCACCAAATGTGTTGGGGGCTTTCTAAGTTCCAAGCAAGAGACACAAGGAGCTGCCCCAAGCAAGTGAACAACCGTGTGACATATGTTGGAGTGGGTATGGGATGCAGGTAGACCCTGTTCAGTCCACCCCCAGCCTCCTGTATGATGAACTTTCAAAGGGTGCGTCCTCAAGGTGATCTGGATGACCTTGGACCCCAAATGCCACCCATGGCTTCATGGGCCCCAAGCCCCACGCCCTGTGGCAGTGCCAGGCACCTCCCATGAGACCTTGAGCATGGACACTAAGGGAAGGGATACCTTGATCCTAAGGAGCCAGGTGTCAGCCATGGTGCCCCAGTTCCTGGGGCAGGTTCCGTCCAGAGCCGGGCACCCAGTACTTGGCACTCCTGGTTCACAGGCAGCCCCTGGGGGAGGGGTGTTATTAATACTCGGGCCCAGGTTTGGAACATGGTGTATTTTTGAAAGGCATCATTGGAAAGGCCAGTGTGGAGGCGAGGCTGTCCCCACGCCAGGCGGCTGGCGGGAGCCCCAGCTGGGCCTGGTGTGTCAGCAGTCTCGGCATAGAGTGGGATGACAGCGTTTTTCCATTGCAGAGGCTGAGCTCAGAGGGAGGCTGCCGGGCCTGGGCTGGCGTCCAGCAGCTCTCGGCTTGGACACAGCACCGCGATGTCCTGCCTCCCATGTGGAGGTAGAGGGAAGGGCCCTGACCAGAGGCCTCCATGGGGTCTCAGACCCACAGGAGGGAGGGGACCAACTGCCTCATGGTAGGGAAGAAAGTCAGGCTGTGGCTGCACTTCCATCCCTGTCCAGCCAGCCCTGTCCTCAGTGCAGACTTGGAAACTGACTTGAGGGACTGTGGCCTGTCAGGAGGGACCTGAACATGTGTCATTTATACGGGACAGACAGCGGGTGAGTCCAGGCACAGTGGCCACAAGAAGGAGGAGGAACAGTCAGGGAGGCTCCCTGAAAGTAGAAGTACAGTGGCAATAGTGCCCCCTGGAGTCTTGCACATGCAAGTGCGGACACATGTAGGTGTGGAAACAGAAAAGGGGAGAGTCAAGGGCCTGCATTTGAGCTGGGAGGCCTGGGCATACAAGACCACTGCCTGGGGTCATGAGAATCTGCCTGGAGACCACCTTCTTTAGGGACCAAGGGGACACCATGGAGTCTTCAGCTCAGCCTCAATGGCGGTGAGAACAGAACCGGGTAAAGTAAGGGAAAGGGAAGTCAGACAAAGGGTGGGGGCCCACGCTTTCCAGGGCTGGGGCGGGAGCCACAGTGTCCCCACTTTCAGGACAATGTCATCCTCTCACACCTGCAGCCCCCGGCACCCCCACCGTGGGAGGAATGCTACCCCAGCTCCGAGCTCATAGTCCAGCTCCACTGTGGCCTGCAACTCTCCCCCAGTTCCAAATTCCCAAGGAAGGGACCCCAATGAGCCAACTTGGACCTACCCGTTATGGCCTGGGGTAGGCAAACACACTAGAGGGGCCTCCCATAAAAATGTCAGGAGGACAGAAAAGCCACAACTGGAGCTTCACCAAGGCTGAGCCAGGCGAGGACAGATGGAGGAGACCAGGGCACACAGGGACACGGGCCTGCAGCTGCCCTCCACGGGCAGCAGTGAGGAGCGGTAGAGGCGGAAGAAGCAAGCGTTATAAATTGCCTTCAGGTGCCCAAGATCCATTGCCTGATCTGCACATAATTCAACCATTGTGTCCTGTAGCCAGAGCAGGATTCTGGCTTCGTCTAAGTAGCTCCTATCTAAAAGCTGGTCCAGAACCGGAGTGGGGGAAGGGAGGGCCCATGGGGAATGGATGGATGGATGGATGGATGGATGGATGGATGGATGGAAAGGGACAGAGGTAGACCTCTGACCCCTGGGCAACCACCCTATCCTCACCCCTCCAGGCCTTTGCTCAAGCTGTTCCCTCTGCCCAGCCTGTCCTTGGCCCCAGCTCTCTCTGACCGGGTCCATCAAATGGGGCTCAAATGCCACCTTTTCCAGGAAGGTTGTTCTGAACCCTATATCATCCTTCCTCCGTCTGTGCACTCTAGTAATCTGCTCATGTCTGTGTCATCATAACAGTGGCCTACCACTGGAAGTATAACCCTGATCAAGGTGTGTGGACTGACGACTCCAGTGAGCTTCCTGGATTGTCATTGCCCATAGCTCAGGCCTTGAAAAAAGCCTGGCTGAGCTGACATAGGGAAGGGCCCCCTGGACTCTGCCTTAGCTACACTCCTCTCTCCAGCTTGAGAGTCCTAGAGATTCCTGCCCAGTGAGTAAGAAGCAGACGGGCCGGTGTCCACGGCCTTTGAGTCCTCAGGGCCCAGAAGCCAGGGCTGGAGCTTGGCGGCCGCTGGAGGCCTTTTAAGTGTTTAGTGGGAGCAGCTGGCCTGGAGGGGGCTTAAAACCAAGGAGGGCACCAGTAGGTGCTGGTGTGGAAGTGAGCATTGGAGGCCTTGCCTACCCTGCCCTTCACTTCCTCCTCATCCATCTGGCCTTTCTAGACATGCTCTTTCCACCCCCACCCCCCCACCGAGGCCTGGCCCCAGAGGGTTTCCTCGGACCCCAAAGCCCAAGGCTGGGGGGTCTGGAGCTGGACTAAGAGGACCCCTCTGGAGCCAGAGAGTGGGGACAGAAGAGGAGGAGCTGAGAAAGTGGAGGACGATGAGAAAGATACAAGCTTCCCTTTGTTTTTACTTGAGAGGGAGGACCTGTCTGAGGACCTGGCCGAGCACCCAGTACCTGACCAGGTAGCAGCTTCATGGAGCACAGCTGCCTGGAGCATCAAGTGGAGGCTGGCCGGGGACCTTGGGCACCCTGTGTATGGGGGCAGGTGGTGGGAGCAGGAGATGAACTACCGCAGCTCTGACCTCGGAGATGAGAGGCCACTGTCCCTGGAAGAGGGTAGTGGGGATGCCCATCGCTGCATGGGCTGGAGGGAGCAGGGCAACCTGTCTGGCCTGGAGGGACCTTTGTCTGTTGGGGGAGGATTACAGAAGCTTCTCTGTGGCCCAAGTCCACATGGCCTTCCCATTCCTCTTGGAGAAGCCCCCAGCACGTTCCTGAGGTCACCAACCCGAGGACCACTGGGTCAGGCCTGCCTCCCTCTGCCCTCCTTCAAGAGGAGCCTGGGTGTCCTGCCTTGGAGCTCAGCTTGGGCTGTATGTTAGCAGGAGCTGGAGGCCATCAAACTGAAGCTGCGGGCCAAGGAGCAGGCCCAGGGGCCAAGCTGCCCAGGGCGCAGGGCCAGGCCAGAAAAGAGGAGGCAGCTAGGTCTGTGCTGGCCCAGCAGCTACTGAGTCCTGAGACAGGCAGGAGCCAGCAGGCCAGGTGGACCCCTTCCCTGGTGGGTGGGCAGGCCCCTGAGTCTGTAAATCAGGATGGGCTGTGAGCTGCTGCTGAGAAAAGGCCAGCTCACAAGGAGTGTTGGCCCAGCAGATGACAGTAAGTCCTTGTAGAACAGGCCCAAGGCAGGACCTCTGCCCTGGAGTAAGAAGTGAGCCATAAGCATGAGGTATCTGCCCTTAGCAGCTGCCCAGAGCCGGGCCCACCCTGCCCTGAGGCTGCTCTCTGCAGGCTGCCTCTGCTCTGGGATCCCTGAGAAGGTAGAAATGGGCCAAGATCCATCGGCGGGGACAACATGAGGGCAGAAGGGGAGTGAGGTGGGGTCTTTTCAGGGGCCACTTCAGGTCTACTTCTTCCTCCTGGATGTGAGGATTAAAGGGAGGGACCCGGCCCAGCTGGTGTGGCTCATGGTTGAGCATTGACCCATGCACCAAAAGCTTCCATTTCTGGTCAGGACACACACCCTGATTCCAGTAGGGGGTGTGCAGGAGGCAGCCAACTGATGAGGTTTCTCTCTCATCGATATTTCTCTCTTCTATCTCTTCCTCTCTCTCTAAAATCAATAAAAACTTTTTTTTTTTTTTTAAATAAGGAAGGGATATGTATGGGGCAAACTGAAAGCCACTCAGGCCTGGGAAGAAGCCAGAGGGTGGGTCTAAAGAGGCGGGAAGGGCTGTGGGCCTGTGTGGTCCAGTGTTCTGATCCTCCAACGGGAGTTGGGAGTCAGGATTTCCACATGAAATCTCCCAGTTGGTCAATCACTGGCAATAAGCCCCGCTTTATAAAGCCATACACTGCACAGGCCAAGTAAACATGGGGGTGTTGCCTAACACATGAGGGTGTTCATCTCAGTCCCAGTCTACCTCCAACAGGGGTGGGGACAGAGGCCTGGGCCAACTCCCCCACGCTGGGCTCCAGTCAACCCCCCTTTGCCAAAAAACATGCTGCAGGGGGCCAAGACGGGGATGCTCAGGGAGGAGGCCCCAGAGGGGGAGGCCTCTGCAACAGCGCCCACACCAGGCCGTGCCTGTGTCAGGTGGACTATGGGATCACTACTGAGGCCTATTTCAACATCTGTGGGGAGGTCCATCAGGTCACCACCCTGAACAAGTTTTCTGGACACCCCAAAGGGTCAGTACAGGCCTTTGAGGAGGGGGCTGGGCACCCCAGGTAACTGCCCAGCATGGGTGACCTGGGCTGCCCTTACCAGCCCTTTATTTCACCCCAGCTATGCCTACATCACATTTGCTACTGAGAGCTCAGCCCAGGCTGCTGTGGGCCTGGACAAGAGCATCTTCCAGGGCCACGTCATCAAGGTGCAAGAGCCCCATGAGTCACCAGGGCATCTTTGTGGGGGCGCTGGGGTGCATGGACTCACTCTGAGCTTCTCTACATTAAGCCATTAACCCCTGAGGTGCCAGGAATGCAGCAGAGGGAGGCTGACACACAGAGGTTGAAATACTGCCCAGCCTGCCCCTTCTCCATCTCCCAACATCCCTCGGCACACCTGCTGGGCAGCAGGGAAGGGGTGGAGGCACCCCACACCCCAAAGGGTTTGTCTTGCTTGTGGCACTGGGTAGGCATTCCTCCAAAATTGGATCTCACCTCATGGAGAGATGTTGGCTCAACAGGGACACATCAAGTGGCCACAGCTGTGTCTGGACAGTTTAGAACTAAGTGGGGATCTTAAGAAGGTAGAGAACAACATTAGGGTCTGATGCCTTGGGAGGCCCCGTGTCCTGGATGCCACAAGAGTCTGGTAGGCTCAGGGGCCTGTGCACACCACCTGTGAGCTTCCAGCAAAGAAACCCAGGAAGCCTGAGGATTACTGGCTGCCACCAGAAGCTGGAGAGAAGACTGAAATTCTCCCTCAGAGCGGCCAGAAGGACCCACTCTGGCCTCCAGAACTGTAAGAGTAAATTTCTATTGTGTTAAGTCCCTTCCCCTCCAATGAAAAGGTGGCTGGAAGGTCTGAGTGTCAGGAACCTTGCCAAGGTCACCCAGCAGCCCAGGGCCGAGCCAGGCTTGGTCAAGGAATTTCTGAGTGTGGTCAGGACATGAGCAGTGGGGCTGCAGGTGAGGCATGCCACCAGATGTGGTTCCCCGAGCTGCAGATTAGGTAGCACCTGGCAGATGACACCACCTCCTGCCAGCTCAGCACCTTAGGCCTCAGCAGGGGGAATCTGCGTTGGTCTTGATACACTCCTCTTATGTGTTGGCTTTTCTGTTAAGGTCCTGCTGACAGTCTTCTACCCCAAGCAGTTAGTTCCTCTTTAGAAGCATTTTCTTGATCCTTTCTGTGTGGCCACTTCGAGGACAGAGTGAGCCCAGGAGTTCCTCCTTTCTTGTGGATTGCAGGCCTGAGCAGCCTAAGGTGGGAGAAGGATGGAAAGCACTCCTGGACTTGGCCGCCATGTGGGTGGTGAGCAGACTGGAGTGGCTATGCCTGGAGAAAGCCCAGACACACAGTTTCCCTTGCCCCTATCTGGTCTGGGCCAGAAGGATGGAAAGAGAGAGGCACTGATGCCCCAGGGAAGACTGATGCTGGCAGTGAACTTCAGCTGAAGAAATCATCTGGAATAACAGCCAAGAGCTGACTAGGACCTGCAACCGAGAGGCTCAGCCCTGGGGCGGCAGAGGAAAGCCAGGCAGGTGGCTCTCAACAGGCCACCTCCTGTATAAAGATGTAAAAAGATAACGTGAAACTGCCATCTGGCAGTTCTGCTGGCAGAACAAAGACCAGCACATTACTTCTGACCTTGGTTTCCTCACACTTAAAATGGGAATGCACCTAACAATGTGTGTAAAAGTTCCCTAATGTAGAAAGCATTTATGAGTTGGTTGGCTGTAAATACAGAAAAACCCAAATAGCAATGGCCTCAATAAGGGTTTCTTTTCTTTGTAATAAAATATTGCTGAATGCAAGGAGCTCAGACCTGGTATGTCAGCAAAGACAGAGGCTCCTGCTAGCTTTCTGCTCCCTGTCCTTAGGGGATGAGTTCCAGCCATCACATTCAAGTTTTAGGCAGGAAGAAGGGAGAAGATGGCAAAGGATTCCATCTGGCATGTGAACCCCCTTTTAAAGTATCTTTCCTGAAAGTCACTCCCAACATCATTCACTTAATATGCCATAAAAACTACCTATCCTTGTAAAGGTAGGAAGTATCTTTTGTCTAGTCCAGTGGTCGGCAAACTCGTTAGTCAACAGAGCCAAATATCAATAGTACCGATTGAAATTTCTTTTGAGAGCCAAATTTTTTAAACTTAAACTTCTTCTAATGCCACTTCTTCAAAATAGACTCGCCCAGGCTATAGTATTTTGTGGAAGAGCCACACTGAAGGGGCCAAAGAGTCATATGTGGCTCTCGAGCCGCAGTTTGCCGACCACAAGTCTAGTCAATTGTCCTCAATAACACTGGGGAAGTGAGTACGGAAGCAAGGAAGAATGGACACTGGGTCAGCAACTTGCAATCCCCATCAGAGCCACTACTCAGGCAGGAGAGAGCACTACCGAAACCTCAACCATGGCTGCAGGGAAGAAATCCTGCGAGAGGGGCCCACGGCCCACTGGCATCGCAACCAACGCCTGCCTGCTGCTTCTCAGCCCTACTCTAGGTTTCCACTTCCAGCAGTGGGGAGGCGGGAGAGGGGGGCAGGGACGTGTTTTTCACACACATTCCTAGATGTAGCTGTCTTTATTTCTGTGACTTAAAAAAGCAATCCTGTGCTTGTCGGAAGGGAAGGAAACCCAAAAGGGTGCCAAGAAATGTTCATCTCAGTTCCAGCCCGAGGCTCACCAATGTTCCAGCCCGTTCTCCCAGGGACCGGAGCCACCTTCCTCCTGGTCAGAGACCATCTCCCCAGTGACTGAGAGCGGGAGGGACTCAATGACTGTCTTGGGGTGCTGACTCAAAGAAGCCAGCCAACAGCTGTGTGGGCCGAGTACTACTTGGAGCAGACTGTGCGGGTGGGGCTCAGACTCAGCAGGTCCCTGTCGCCTCTCGTTCTTCACAGGACACAAAAATGGCAAAGAACCTGGCTGCCTGACCCCAGAAGGGGGTGACACATCAGCCACAGTCAACTATTAGGACTGTCCTCTGGACTTGGCTGAGCAAGCCTCTGGGGACACAGGATGTAGACATCTAATTACATCAACTCTTCCTCAAATGTAAGCACCACCCCTCCCCAGCCCCAGGAAGGCAGTTTCCCTCTAGCCTGTGGCGTAGCAGGGGACTCAGAGCCTAACCCTGGCCAGCCCTCAAGCCACAAGAAACACTGTGCACCAACAGATGGAAGAGGCTCCTTCGTGCTCAGAAAGCAACAGCCACAGGTGAGATGCTGCAGTTACATCAAGTGGCCTAGATCTCCTAACAGCTGCCTCTCAAGATTGGGCCAAGTCCAGACATCAGGCTGATGCAAGACCAGCTAGAGAACTTTTCCCTGTGGGGGGAGTTCTAAATCCGGCCACAGAGGCCTTATACAGCACCCCACCTGGTCAGCCACTGGAGGGCGCCACAAGAGCAGCCGGTGGGACAGAGGCTGCCCCATGGCCAAAGCCTCTCCAGGGCTCCAAGCTCTGTGGGCTCCTACCAACCAGCTCCTACTGCCCCTTCGTGCCTGTGGGGACAACAGTTCCCTGCTATCTTGTCCCTGACCTCTATCTGCACTCATCCCTGAAAAGTTCTGCATTAAACTCCAGTTAAACTGTCGGTAGAAGGAAAACACCAAATCTGCTGTCACAAGACCTTTAGTTGACATGCCCCCCACCTGGCCTCACCCCCATGTGAGGTAAATGATAATAAATACACATCTACACAATACAGTATGTACAAAACACTTCTCTTCACACAGCAGGCAGCAAGCTTCTCACTCAACAGACCTGTATCATCATAGACGTCACCATGCTATCGAAGGCCCTGCAAAGAGAAACAGTCCAATTGAGAGACGAGACCTGGCCCTCCACCCGCTGCCTAGAGGCAGCCTCTGTGGCACTGCCCGAGGCCCACGCCTCTAACATCCAGGTAAGTGAACTTAGCTAAGAGGCCAGGACGTGTGTCCTGCCACACCTGGCAACGAGAGCCTAAGCCTCCTGCCTCCCACTTCCCTTCGGGCTTCCCAAGGTCCCGCCCGCTGGATTTCCGCACAGGGTGGAGGAGCTGCAGTGTGCGAGTGCAGGGCTGTCACTGCCCCAAACAGCCCAGGAGACACAGGCTCTACATAACAGCACTGGCTTCTCCCCCTGGGGCCCAAGATGACCAAAAACACAGCATCACGGGCAGCAGAGGAAAGGCCTGACTCAGGTCACTATAGTGTACTCTTACCTACCAGCTGCAAGAAGCCCCTTGGGAGGTGTGTCTAGAAATGTATGGAATTCCCAGGAGCAGGCTTGGAGTGTGTGAATGCTTCTTTCTGAAGCAACTTCGTGACATTCCAAAATTAAAAGACTATTTGAAGGCTATTTGAAGATATCTGCAATCCAATTTCCTCACCATTCAAGTTCAATATCAAAGACAAAATTAGGCAGCAACAGGAGGATGTTTTCCCAGAAGGCTCCTGTCCATAGGCCTGAGCCCTCACTGAGTTTGTGATGGTGCTCTAGTACCTAGTGGGGGCACATGGGAAACCAAATGGGCAAGCTCTATCCCCCAAGTCCCATCTGTTTTATATGTTTATGGGTGAGAGTTTGCTTGAAAAAATCGAGTTCCGCTGCTTCAGAATTGCTGACTTAGCAGAACAGTGTCCACTGCTTAAAAAGACCTTCCCTCCCTTCCTTTCAAAACCATTGCCTTTTAGCAAGGCAGGGCCTACAAATGAAGGTAGCAAACATGACAGTAGGCCCACCTGGACTGAATGCGGTCCCCTGGGTTATAGAAGGGGTTACACATCACATCTGTGTAGGAGTTGTGCAGCTTCCGGAACATCTGCAAGAAGAGCCAAAGTTTTTAATTCACCTGTACACAGGATTACTGCCATATTTTTTGCCTCTCAACATTTTTAAACAAAAGGAAAACAAACAGCCTCAGGCACCGCTTACAGACTCCCTGCACTTACACTGCGAATCTCATTGTCACGAAGTGCTGTGTTGGAAGAATCCACCACCATAACGAACTTCACCTTGGAGTTGGTCACATAGCCATATCTGCACAGCTGGTTAGGGAACAAGCTGTCAACACAGGGCTCTGTGACAAACATGAAACAGCCTCACTGGAAAGTGTGAAAGCAGAGGGCCATCTGTGCACGCCCTGGCTCCAGAGCCCCTTTGGAGAAACCTTGCATCACAGGAAATGCCCCAGGCTGGGCCTGCCTGGCTGGGTGTGACTAGACACCTCCTGGGGGCAGCTTCTGGTGTTTACTAGAGAAGCAAAGGGCAGGCAACTAAACCCCATCCTGATTCCAACTCCCAAAACTATCCTGCCCAGGTCTTGGCCCCTCCCCCCCTTTTTTTTGTTTTGCATATTACCTTTTTATTGTATAGGGTTATGTAGGATACAGATTCTAGAGGCTGAGATTCAAGAATGTCCACAGTCCAGTCCAAGCCTACTTGCTACAGGAGTCACTGTGTTTTTGCCCCCCTTATGAATCAATGCTTAGCTTGTAGTGTTAACTGGTAAATTAGCAATTTCATGAAGGACAAATCCTGCCTGCAGTGTCTACACCTCGAAAGGCCACTCCCGGGCAAGCATCACTGTGGGCAAGCTATATTACTGCTTGTGGGAACATTTTTTAACTCCATGGGTCTCAAGCCATCTGCCCCAAGGGCGTGGTCAAGATTTTATAGTGACTTGTGGGGCTGCGCCTGACAATGAAATGAGTGAACCGATCATTCCTTGCTCAGAGCTGGTGGCTCCGCTGAGAAAGAAACCCTTGCAGGCATAAAATAGGAGCTTCCCCAGCTCTCCTGTAAACCTGACAAGGTCACAATTCTCCAGGTAATTCAAGCCTGGCTTTTCCCATATTATCCTCCTAATTAAAGGAAAAAAGGGCAAAATTCAATTAGCCTCAAGCTGCCCTAATCCCCCCTGGGCTAAAAGCCCTCACCGTTTTTTTCTTTTCAGGTGATGGTACAAAATGCCTTTCAAGGTTATCTGATCCTACAGTACATCACACAACTTCAGGCAGAATCCCGGATTCCCGCCCTGTGGGGAGAAGCCCGCTGCCAGGCCCCTGCCGGCTGTAAGGATACACCTTGTAGTCCTCTGTGGGGTACAGCAGGCCCAGGTAAAGCTCCCTCTGGTCCACCAGGGCCTTCCCCATTGCAGAGATCTTCTCGTCCACCACGTCCAGGGACGTGTGCACCATGTAGTGGAACTTCAGCTCATTCTCCGTGGGGACACTGCGGATGTAAAGAGGGTAATTCTGCAAGAGAGGATGACGGCAGCTGAAGTGATGTGAATCCTCTCTGTGTGCACCGATTATGAACAGGAGGCCAGAGCACTTGGGGGGGAGGACCAGCCAAGTGCCAACTAGCCACAGGAACACACTCTCATTCTCTAGAACCCGTTGGTTACTTTTCCAGGCTGTTGTGGGCACTGCCCTATATATTGTCTGCAAAGGGGCATCTCTAGGATGGGCAGAAAAAAAAGATGGGTTTGAGCCCAGTCTGACAACTAACCTGTCACCTGGACAGGTCACTTCCCTCCCCTGTGGGGCCCAGCCCCAGCCTGCGCTCTCCTGGCCCCATACTACTGGCTGTTTCCTGATACACCGCCTCTTGCAATCTCTTCACCTTAGAAGAGGCACTGGCCTGCCCTCTCACTAAACTCTTCCGGGCTCGGTTCAAACCTCCCTCCATCTCTTCATATCCATTTCTGACCATCTTGATCTCGGCGTTAACAGCATCTTCCTGGGGGGCTTCCTCATGTCACAATTCACTGCTTCTGTCCCTTGCCTGGCGCTGCCCAGATACAGAGCACACTACACTGTCCCTTCTCTAATGGGGCTGACATTCGGTGGAAGCAGTCGCCAAATCCCACCAACAAACGAATACCGTGCTGTAGCTAAGAAGGAAGCCAGCACTCAGGAGCTTCAAGGCAGGAACGCCTCATAAGCCTGATCTCACGGAGGACACAGAAGGGCACTGTAATAGGAGCATGTGGACAGCTACCCAGCTCAGTGTCAGGATTCAGACACAGCTTTCTAAGGAAGTTAATTAAGCCTATAGTGTCCAGAGTGGAAGATGAGGAAAGGGGGTTAAGGGGAGAGGAGTTCCAGGTGCAAAGGCCAGAGGTGAGAGGGCAGAGCCTGTCACGGAGCTGCAAGTAATCCCGTTGCTTTGGAGTGGAGGGTGTTCTATATGGAGGAGGGGAGGAGGCGACCGGGTTATTCAGACAGTAGCAATGAGAAGGCACTGGAGAGGCTTTAGGCGGGAGCGTGACACGATCTGATTTGTTTTTAAAGCAGCAAGCACTGACTGCTATGTGTGGTGTCTCTCGTCCGAGTGGGCGACGGCGTGGCCCGGATGTGCGGTAGAGCAGGATGGAGAAGTGGGCGGCTGGCTCGGGGGGCGAGAAGGGGATACCGGAGGGGGATGGGGGGAAGTTGCGGGGTAGAGATGGGGGGCGGGATCCCGGGCCGAGCCGGAAAGAAGGGCCCAGCTGGCGGGCGCCCGGGGATGACGCCTGCGCAGCTGCGAAAGCGGAAGTAGGCGGCGCCTTTCCGGAACCGCCCAGACGCCGTCCGCCCCGCGGAGTCCGCGGGCTGGTCCCTCCGGGACCCTCGGGGTAGGGAAGTGGGAAAGCGGAGGGCGAGGGCGGGACTGTGCTGGGGTACCGGCGAGCGCCGGAGCACTGCGGCGCCGCCCGCCCGCCTGCGTACGCACCTCCTTGGCGATCACCGCCACGCACACCGCCATCTTGGGAGGCCCGGTCGGCCACGTCACGTGACCCCGCCCAGCCGGTCACGGGACTGCCCGGGTCCCGCCCCTCCAGTCACTCAGCCAGCCTGGCCCCGCCCCGTCGCTCCCGGAAAAGCTGCCCTCCGGGTCCCGCCGCTCGCCGGGGTTCTGCCGCGCCCGGCGTGGTTGCCATGGCGGCGGTTGCTGCGGCGATGAGGTGGCGGCTGCTGCTAGTAATGGGTGCAGCGGTGCTGGGCACCAGCGGCACCCCACAGCCACCCAACATCCTACTCCTGCTCATGGATGATGTGAGTGCGGGCTGGGCCCCGGAGACGCAGCGCACAATGCAGCAGGTGGGGGTGGCCGTGGGTGGGGGAGTCCCGTGAGAGGAACCGGAGGCAGCCAATCAATGTGACTCTCTTCAGCCGGTGAAGGGGGAGTAGGGAAGTCCAGACTGGGAGAAGATCCCTTCTGCATTATTATTCCCTTTCTTGCCCCTCCCGCTCTGGAAGGGTGAAAGGGCAGCCCAGATCAGCTGCCGCCCTCAGCAGGTGAGGACCAGTCTCGTAGCCTTCCCTGCTCAACTCTGCCCTCCCACCCAGAGCGTCCAAGGGCAGAGAAGGGAGTGACAAGCTGACCGAGACTGAGACTCTGCCTGTTTAGAAAGTCGATTCGCTGCACCTGCCCTATCCCAGAGCTGCCCCTGCCCACCTGGGCAGGTATCTCTGGCCCTGTTGAGAATTCTAGTCAAAGGTCAGGTCTTTAGCTGAAGTGGAATAATATACCCCATCAGGTGTGTGTGCAGCCCCAGGCGCAAGGTCACACTTACAGGTCAGCCCTTTGGAGAGTAGCAAGGCAGCAGGATCCTGCATGGGAGCAGAGTGGTTCACTTGTCCCTTTGCAACTCTGCCCCTGTGCACCTTTCCAGACCGGAGTGAAATAGGAATTCTGGTAAAGTAGGGGTGCAGACAAACTTGGGTTGGAGATCCTACTCGCCTGAGCTTGGAGAAGTTACTGAGCTCTTAGAGCCTTTGTCCTGTCCCTCCAGCTCTCCTCACAGTGATGTGAGGACAGGCAGGGCAGAGGGCAGGCTGTGATGTCAGGTCCTGTAGTATGGTCACAGACAGTGTCCTAGCTACAGCTCCTAAAGCTCTGGGAGTGAGAGTGGTGTCTGTGGAGTGGTCATGAATTAAATGCTTGGGGCCCCGCGTAGGTTCAGGATGAGTTCCTCAGAAGGCCAAGATGTGATCAGGGGCTGAAACCTTCAGCACAACCCTGACCTCCAAGGAGGGAAGAGTGAGTGGCTGGAGATTGAGTTCCATCACCAGAGGTCAATGATTCAATCAATTGTGTAACAAGACCTCCTTTTGGGGGGGAAGAAAAAAAACACACTAAACAACAGGAACACGTGGAGGAGCGGGAGAGAGTGGGGAGCTCCTTACACCTTCCCCATACCTCAGCCAAGGCACCTCTTCCTTTATAACCTTCCTTTATAACTGTAATAGTAAGTATAGCACTTTCCTGAGTTCTATGAGCTGTTGTAGCAAATTGTGGAACTTGAGCAGGTCTGGACTCCCAACTTATTGCAGGTTGGTCAGAAGTTCGGGAGGCACAGGACTTGTGGCCAGCTGAAAGGGTCAGTCATGTGGGACAGAGCCCTTGACCTGTGGGATCTGAGACAAGCTCCAGGTAGCGGCAAAACGGAACTGAATTGTTGGACTCCAGCTGGTGCCCAGGAAGTTGGAGAAGTGACTGATGGGGAAATCCCCACAGTTGGTATCAGAGTGTTGTAAGTAAATATAGCTCAGAGTGCCCCAAAGGCCAGCAAAGATGCTCAGGAGCCTTTGGACGAAGGCCAGGAGCCTCAGGTGGCTGTCGGACAGCCCTGGCTGGGCTGGATGGAGAGGTGCCGAGTGTGTAAATATACTCAGACTTTGAAGACTCAGTACAAGAAAAAGAATGTTTAAAAAAAAAAAAAATCTCACTTTCCCTGGCTGGTGTTTCTCAGTGATTAGAGCATCGATTCCCAGTCAAGGGCAGGTACCTGGGTTGCAGTGCATGTTTGATCCCCAGACCAGGCGCACGGAGGCAGCCAATCATTGTGACTCTCTTACATTGATGGTTCACTCTCTCGCTTTTCCTCCCTCTCCCTCCCTTCTACTATCCCTAAAAATCAATGGGGAAAAAATATCCTCAGGTGAAGATTAACAACAACAACAAATCGTACTTAATTTTTTGTTATAATAATTATTTTTTTATTATGAAGAATTAATAACATTCAGATGAACCTGAAAAGATCGTAGAAACCCATCCATAATTCCACCACCCAGAGATAACACTGCACATGCTTATTTTTAGTCTCATAAACTCCTCAGGTGATGACGGCTTCTACAGCAGGTTCTGCAGCCCTTCAGCTGGTCCATCCTAATGAACAACACGTTAGTCTTGGAAATGCTTGCTTTTGGTTCAATATTCAGTCTTCTCAAAGCTCGAGTCCCTGTCAAGGCAGTCCCTTTTGAATGGTGAGACTCGAGCTGAGTGCTGTGTCTGTGAGGTTGCTGCCCCTGCCCCTTCTCTCCAGGGTGGCAGTGGGTGTGTGAAGCAAGTCATGTGCCCTCCGGACTATTGAAGGTTTATTGTAGTGATAACATTTTGGGTATACATGCATACTTCAGAGATTTTGCAGGTCTGGTTTCAGACCCCTGCAACAAAGCAAGTCTCGCAATAAAGCAAGTATCCCAGTAAAGTGAGTCGTGACATTTTTGCTGGTGGAGAGTCATGCCTTCAGTTTATTAAAAAACAAAACACCTCTGAAGCACAATGAAGCAAAGTGCAGGTAAAGTGAGGTATGCCTGTATTGAGTTAAGTAAAGTAAGCTAGCCCTCATTTGTCTTTCTTTTTGCCTTTTTCATGAGGCTGCTAGAAAGTGCAAACTTACACAGGGAGCTGCTGTGTATTTCTGTTGGAAATGTCGTTTAGGCCGTGGAGGTTCTGAGTAGTGGAGCATGACCAGCACTGGGAGTATTTCTGCTCTAGAGGGGCTAATGTGGGGAGCCTCCCTGCTTGGGTGCCCCGGGGTGGGGTAACAGGAACCGAAACAGTGGCCAGGAGCCCCAGTGCTGGGCCTCTCCGGTGCAATTTCCTTCCTGTGGCTTTGGGCTTCTCTGGCAGCTGAAACCAAAGAAGCCTGGAAGACTTTTGCCCTGGTCAGCAAACGTGGACAGGCCAGGACTTTTTGGTGGGAAATAACAGAAAATACATGCAAATTGACTTATATAAACTAGGAAACCAAACTCCCGTGACTGTACAGCCTGGGGCAGCCTTGACTTCAGGCAGCGGGATCCAGAAGCCCCTTGCTCTGTGCCCTCACCGGCCTTTATGGTCAGCAGGCCCAGGGAGAAGGCGCACTACCATGAAGACCCGGTTCGTACCCCTGAGCCAGGCTCACTGTCTGGGTAGGGGTCTGCTGGCCTCTGGAGCCGAGGCCTCTGGCCAAACAACCCCTCAACTCCCGCCCCAGAGCCAGGCAGGGAGCAGGATGGAGGAGGCAGGCAGACCCTTTCATCCAGGTGGCACCTTATAGAAATGAGAACATGGGCCCCTTCCCATGCTCTAGCTCCCCCTCTCCCCTCCCCCCCCCGCCCCGTGAAAACAGAGTGAAGGCCATCAGTAAGCGGACTCTGAGACCTTGGGAGCCTCGCCAGCTCCTCAGTCAAGAAAACAGCGAGTGTTTTGATCTCACGCAGGATCTCTCCTCCTCCCCCTGTATGCCATTTTTCTGTTTTCCCTTTTTAAAATCCTGGCCAGAGGATATTTTTTCCACTGATTTTTAGAGAGAGAAGATACCTCAATGTGAGAGAGACACATTGATTGATTGCCTCCCACACACACCCTGACCCAGGCTGGGGACTGGGGCCCAGAGCCAGGAGTCAAACCTATGACCCTTTGGTCTGAAGGCTGATGCTCTAACCACTGAGAAACCGGCTGGAACATGTTTTTGTGTTTTCAGCATTATAAAACCTCGTGTTGGGAAAGTCTTGGGTGACAGTGAAACAGTAGCACTGGCTGGCCACTCCTAGTGCAGTGGTCGGCAAACTCATTAGTCAACAGAGCCAAATATCAACAGTACGACAATTGAAATTTTTTTTTGAGAGCCACATTTTTTAACCTTAAACTTTTCTAATGCCACCTCTTCAAAATGGACTCCCCAGGCCGTGGTATTTTGTGGAAGAGCCACACTCAAGGGGCCAAAGAGCCACATGTGGCTCGAGAGCCGCAGTTTGTCGACCACGGCCCTAGTGCATCTGCAGGCCAGATAGGACTTAGTGACTTGATCGGTGGCAGCTGGTGCAGCAGTAAATTTCACTGGTCGGCCGCCACCAGTGTACATGTAAGTCCTAATAAACTCATGTCTCTTACAGCCAATCCTCCAGGCTATTTCTTTGGGATCCACAACCAATACACTGAGGTTTTCAGGGACCTCAGCACTTTGCATAACACACCTGATGAAGGTAGGGATAGCATCTGCTCCTTATCCCCAGGGTGTCCTCAGACCCAGGACAGGTCCTGGGAGACATGCATTGAATGGGTTTAGTAGACGTGTCCATTTCTTCAGTGGACCTGACTCAGCTCTGTCCCCCAAGGCTGATGAGGCCAGGGTCAGGGGGACACAGCTCCCTCCTGGGTTATTCCAGCCCAACCGGGCCAAGACCATTCCTGCTTCCGAGGACCTGGCACTCTGTGTCTCGGTTCCTTATTTGCAAAAACAGTTCTAAGAAGGAGCACTCTGACTACTGAGGAAGTTTAAAGTCAAGCTGCATGCACGCCAGCTTCACTGTGACCATGGTGGGCCCATCAGGCAGGTGCCCCCATCCTCAGTGTGAGAGAGAGACATGGATTGATTGCCCCCGGAGCCATCAGTGGAAGCCAGTCCTTCAATGCATGTGTGTCTTGACAATGATCCCTTGTAGCCAGCAGCGACTGATTCTTGCATTCCTCCAAAGCCTAGAGATTCTAAGTGAAAGAAGGGCTGAGAGCAGGAAGCGAACTCTAAGTCCCGTGACTTTCGTTCCCTGTGAACATGGAAGG